TACTGCCCTGATCCTGTCGGTGGTATCAATCTGGCTAACTTCCAAAAAAGCTTGGAGCACAGTCTTCATTCGAAATGAACACACGAGTACTGCTGCAATCGAACCAACTGACAAGAGACACATGACAACGTCATTGACGACAGGTTTGTATGCAAGCTGCAGTGAAGTTCTTATGGTTTGAAGCAAGTCGCTGCAGTTTGGTACAAGACTATTCGAGCTGCATTTGTTGATATGGGATTCGTACAATGCCGTAAAAATACATGTATGTTTGTCCGTCTCGTCAATGAAAACAAGTCTCCTGCGTATATCGTATTCTATGTCGATGATCTGCTTGTCGGTTGAACTACGGATGCCGAGGCCGAGGCGATTTGTGCTGCACTTAGTGCCAAATTCACTGTGAAATCTCTTGGCGATGCTGATTATGTTCTCGGGATGGAGATTGAGTATGCACCGCAGAAGGGTGAGCTTGTGTTGAGGCAGACCCACTATATTTAAGGGAATGCTCTAGCGATTAGGCAAACGGAAGCAAATGCTGTGCGTAATCCGATAGTGCTTGGTCAGGACTATACACCAGACAAATCGCATGAGAAGTACAAAAATGACCGGGCCTACCGAGAACTTATTGGGTCTCTTTTGTACGACGCCAATGCTACCAGGCCTGACATTGGTGCTATTTTGTCGACAGTTTTGCAGTACCTGGTTTCGTAATGTGATTTGCACTGGCGGGCGGCAGTGCGCGTCCTGAACTATCTCAAAGGCATGTCTATCAAGGCTTACGCAGACGCAAAATGGGTGGGGGGTAACAAGCACACGAGACGTTCAACGTCTGGAGTAATATTGCTGTTAGCAGGGGAGCCTGTAGTTCTCGAGAGCAAGCGGCAGACCTACGAGCTCATTTTGTGCGAGACCACGTCGAAGCAGGACGCATCAAGCTAGTGATGAGCCCACGGAGGATCAACTAACCGACTTCTTATCTGAGGTGATGACCACGCCCCGCCTGTTGCTATTATGTCGGGAAAGCAGGATCGACGATGTGCAAGTTGGGGGGGGAGTGTTGAGGTATTGTGACGCCACGTCACAGATTTGTGTACGGTGCAACTTGCAAGTTGAACTGGAACCTTCTCGAAGATCAAGATCACAAGGTTACAGATCATGCGTTTGTATTCAGGAGCTGGTTAGGGTTTTGGTAGCTAATTTTGCTTTCCATTCTGCGCTGCGATTAACAAGACATCGTTAAACCAATCAGAAATTTCGTGGTCAATTACACAGCCTTTTTTGCCGGAGATAAGCAGAAGCTGCTTTAATTTAATGCTTCGAGGGCAGATGATGGCAATAATTTGAATCGCGCAGTATTTCATCTTATCAACGGAAAAAACTTATCAAGACATTGATAGCTAAGAGTGAGCTAGAGATTCAAAAGTTTACCCACTGAGAAATAATTAATTCCGAAACGCATACACACGATAAAAATTCTAGGGATTACGGATCGAAATCGACCGTTAGATCGCTGAGCATTCTACTTTTGAAGAGCCTTATAGATTCCACGCAATAAACAGAGAGTTAAATTTTAATCAACATTATATGGTCCGAATGCGTCGGTCATCTCTCGCCATTTAAAAACATTGTGCAGGTTACAAAGCGGTATGATGAACAAGCTGACGACGATGTTGATAACATTTTGGCTGCTCTGCACGCTTAAGCCTTACTAAGTACGGCCTTCAAGTGTTCTTATAGCTTTCTTAAGCATTGTGTCGGAACATTTAAAGTAAGTGGCGTTTTGCATGCATGCAGCAGCGTAATTGCATCATTTTCACTTAAATTACGTGCCGAATAAACTTTAGCGAAATCATCGTGCTTGGAGCTTCCATTGTAGGACGCATTTTTTGCTATATTAATGCGAATGACCGGCACGACACGCTTTAGAGTATCAATGACGTCGTCTTCGTTCATTAAATGCAAAAGTCGGTATCCTAGCATTAACGGAAGTGAGAAAAAGATACAAAAAGTAATGATAGAGAGCAATTTATTTTTCTTCATGATAATCTATTTGATCTCGTCGCTTGGCTGTATGTGAGGTAAATTGCGCCTAGTTTGGGCGAAACAAGAACTGACACACATCATAATAATCAGAAATTATACTGCACTAAATTTAACTCCGTTTCGTCTTTTATATTCAAACAGAGACCGAGTAAGCTATTTGTCTCAGCCCCGTCCATCAATCTGTCGCGCTACAATACTTCACATGATAATTTTACGACAATGACTTCAGCACACAATTCTGTGCTCATGACACTCTTTGTATAGAGCCACAAATGTAGGTACAAATGATATGAGAACAGTAATAACGCACACCAGCTACTTTAAACCTGAATACGAGTGAGCACTACACACTTGAGTAGCAACTGCTATAAGCCGAAGAGCGTGTAGCCATAAATCGACGCCCAACAACATACAGTCAAGAATACATTTATGTAAAAGGCAGTGCTGTTTTAACTAAAACTGCGTGATGACTTAGTCCACGGCCATGGCATGTGGCCACCTTTTCTGTCAATTGACTAAATTCTGCTGTCATAAGATATGGTTTATCATGCATGTTTGATAAGAGTTGTTGGTGCTTCATGTTAACAGTTAGTTCGATGATAAAAAACCCTGAACTTCACTATCAATAAATTTGCGTCCAATTTTGTTCTAAGACTCTTATTCTTCGACATGATTAAACCCTGCTGCTGCTACCCTCACGTAAGATGTGCAGTAGCTTCAAGCTTTGAAACATCTGAAGGCATATGGTTTCTCAATATTGTAAGGTTGTTATCGAAAATCAATGTATATATAGTAAATATTATTTCAAGTCAAACAAAATTAGTGTGTATCTTCACTATCGGCATATATGAAAAGTTAAAAGATTGTTACAGCCATACTTTGCTTATTTTATGTAAGTTATAATCGATACTGCTAACGAGTATATGCTTCCACACATAATATGTCCTACAAAAACAGTGAGAGTGTTGCATTTCGCTTTTGCTTTGCTCGTGGCTCTAAAAGTGTAATAGTCTAATGCAAAGTTTGTTTTGTGACAAGCGAACATCTACAAGAGATTGTCTACATTGGCTAATGTAAAATTCGCGAATACGAAGTTCTGACAACTTAAGAAAAACCCATTTCGAGAGATCAAACATTAAATGAACTAAAATTGAGTGTTTCTCACCCAGAATAATCTTAGTTCTTACCGTAACGGCCGCTATTCCATTTGGTCTTGACTGCCCGTATTTTGATTATTCACTGATGATGCAGTTTTGAACTGTCCTTTCAAAAGGCTTCAGCAGATGTGTTCACGCTGGCACTTTATTCCGGGGAGAACCCAGTTTAACGAAGTCTTCACATCACCCATCAAATCAAGGCTTGCTGGGTATCATATGATCCCACTTATACAAAGGGTGAAGCTAATGCTGTCGATTTGGTATCTCTCTTTATTTCAAGCTGAGAAGCTTTCAGATGATGATGCAGCGCAATCATCAGAGCAAGTGACGTACTTACGCAAGCTTTTTGAAGCAAGAGACTCTGGATAATTTATACTCCTCTGATGTTGATCAGCTTGTGAGACACACAACCGAGCCAATGTTTATTCGACTGCTATTCTTATAACGCAAGTTACTCAAGTTCACGGTATTTGAACTGCAGTGGATTGCTGGATTCAGAGTCCAGTGTGCTAGTGACCCTGTCATATGTATAGAGAATTGTATTTTGAGATTGACTTAGAACATTTAAATCAGGTTAAGCATATATTTATTGTTATTACTTGACAGAAAGACATCAATTTTTTATTGTCTGCTTTGAGTACTTCCAGCTGGTACGTTAAGCAGACTCTTAATCAAAAACGCAATAAAAATCACATATAAACTTCGATGAGTACGTCCATGTGAAGTCTAGTCGCGACGGCGAGCACCTTTGCATTTGCTCTTTGGAGGCGGCGCAGGAGCAACTTGGGGCGATTCACTCGAGGGAGACTTGGAGTCATTATTAGGAGTTGGAGAGACTTGCGTAGGATCCTCTTCATATGGCGTTTGGGTGGGGTCCGAGTCACCGTAAGAGTCTTTCCCAGCATTGGAATCACCACCACCACTACCAGGACCCGTCAAAGGTATACAATTCTTGTATGCCTGCCACACCACTTTGCCTTGGAGACGTTGCAAAGCGAGCCAGTAGAATCGAAGCAGGCCACCACCTGAAGGACATAATGAGTACTTTACGGGTTTGAAGACAGTAATTGTTTGCTGCGTGCCATCGCCGTAAGCTGATTGGCAGTCATCGTTCTGAAGGATCATCTTGTCATTGCACCAAAGTTCACACGGACCAGCGTGTACGATACCACGGGAGAAGGTGGCCGTGCCATCTGATGGAGGATCAACAGGTTTGCCCTTGGGATCTGTAAAACCACAATCCTCACCGAACGCGGGGTTACCGTCCATCAATGTCCGAACGTTCTTGTAGTTGTTCTTTGCCGCCAGCTCCTTGAATGTGGACAAAAGGCCCTCGTCGCCCTTAGATTTGTCCCACGGTCCGTCCCATAAAGGCTTAATTTCGACAACCCATTTGTTTGTCTCCTTGCTCTTCCATGTAGGAGGAGGCTTAGCAATGTAGCCGTGAGCCTGAGCGTAGTCAATTAATGTAGTGACAGCCACAATCATGGCTGAAACAGATGTAGTCGCGACCATAATTCCTAGAGAGGTTACGTTTGGAGAAATAAAGCTGGTCGCTTTGCGGCAAATTATAAAATGCTGTGTCTACTTGTCGTGGTGCGCATGCAATTTATTTTAGGGTGATATGTATCAAGTGTAGTTCTAGCTAGTAGTGATAAATGAGCTTGATTGTTCATGATTCGGTGTAATGACAGCGACAGATTGACACCAAAAACTCAAGATTGTACAAGATTCGGACGTTGAAGACACTACAGAAATCTTGATCCTGCAGAGGCACGACAGGTTTCGGCTCAAGAAGTCGAGAAAGGAATTGGGGTGCTAATGCTATTTTAATTATTGCTGGTTTGGTGTCATCACGCAGAACATCTGTGAAAAAAGTCTTACACCGTCTGGACTGTGGATTATGGATCAATGACGCTAAAGAAGAGACAGAAGTACTAACAATAAGGATGGCGGTGTCGCCACCGTCTATCTAGAAAAACGATGCTCTATACAAATAAAAGGGTGAACACTTTATAATCACACCAAAGTACCTTGCACTATGTAAAGAGCAATTCAATCGACTAAGGCTCGATGAGGTTCCTGACATGCTAATGGTTATCAAGAGGAACCAGCTTGTCAGGCAACGACATCAGAGCTTGTGCAACATCAGGCCAAGTAATTATTGCTGTCCTTTGCGAACTAAATCTGCTGTGATAATTGCATTGCAAGGTCTTAGAAAAGATCAGAATATTATTTTGCAAAAAAAGTTGAGTCGTTCGTTTAGGCTTAACCTTTTGTAAGACTTGTGATCGTATGATCATACAAAGCAAGTCTCCCTTCGAAGTGGTAGACGCTGTCCGACTAAATTATTGCAAACATTCTATTGGTTTAATGATTTCTACAAGAGATCCAGACGATCTTCGTGTAACTATACCCTGCAATAAGCTAATGGCGTAAGCAACTTAACTTCTTTTCGCGCGCTGTTTCATCGACGACCGAAAGCCCGTCGTTCGTCTGCAGGATCAAGGTTCCCGTGATTTTTTATTGAGATACGAGTCATATCTTGAACAATCTTTAGTTGCTGTTGTCCTATCGCTATCATCACATCGACTCATAATTAGTCGAGCTCATTGCCCTTAGTATCATTACTGCTAAAGAATTATTCCGTCCTCAAATATATTACAGACTCGCCAAAACAATCAAGTCATAGTTTGCCACAGATTGACCCTCAACGCGTTTATTATTACGTAAGTTGGTGATACTTCTGTCAAAATCGCGATTGTTGCTACATTCCTTGATTCTGCAAAGGTGCGCCAGATTTTGGATCGTCAATCGAATAGTGGTCGAGAAAAAAATCTGTGTGCTTATTACCATTAATTTGATGCAAGTTTCGTGTCATCATTTGTACTAGCGCAGAGCATCAGCGAAAACAATGTCACATCTTGGGATCGCTGATACATTTGGATTTAACCAGTACGATCAAGAGAAGGATAACAAGTAAAATGTAGATCGTTGTAATTACAAAGCAGCTTTATTAGTGAATATACATTTTAGTATCACTGGTAACTACTGTTCTTATGTTTCCGTCCAAAAACGATGCCACATTTTTACCGATTTATTGGTACTAGCTTGGCATTCCCTTGACACCGTGTAATCAAACTGTGTCCTTTGAAGGAATCAAACCCATCAAACTCGAAAGCGGAGCAACCACATTCTAATAATAAAGCCAATCTTTATTTATGTTCTCTCGTAAAAGCAGAGACCATTACATTGTTTGATACCTTTGGGGGTCTCGGTTTCGCCCTGGTAGGCGCGTATGAAATCCATCTCTGTACATCTGTTGACGCGGACTTTGAGAGTCAACGCTTCATTTTTAGAAAGTGCTCAGCAATCCAGTGCATAGTTATAAAACTGATGTTCGCAGTGTTGCTGCTAGCCCGCGATATGCAGTTTATAACGGTTTGATAGTGTAGAAAGTATATAATATCGGCTCTATTCGAAAGGCACTATTGAATTTAGCCGGCAAGAAGTACATAGCTACTTTAAGTCTCCTGGTTCCGCTTCTGGATGGAACGTACGAATCCGTCATTTGTGGCTTCGATGATGTGACCTGCAGAGTCAAAGCTTCTTCTGTGTGATATGGCGATTACCCGTTTCCACGTGGTAGCACTTGTCGTCAATTCAACGGCAAGTCTAAGTGGAAGGATAGCCGCTGTGGTAACGGAATATATGTTCTTAATCCAACGAGACACGTCTGGTAAGCTTATCGGCTTTTGTTAGGTCCGAGGGGGTAGATTTGTGCTATCCCTCCAAGTCAAACAAAAAAAGCTGGAGTCAGCCCATATATATCCTCTAGTCAACAAGACAACCTTAATATGCTTCCGAGTTTTAGTAAGATAGCATCATTGGCGTCTAAGAAGCGAAAGCGGTAGTTGCTCGCCTGGGTGTGTTCACCAAATGTATTAATAATTATGACTCCCGGGGTAACACATGAAATAAATCGTACGCGAAAAGCTTTCGGCTTCAAAGGCAAGGCGAGTGATGATAAGTATCCAGCCCTGTGAAGAAAGAGACGACAAAAATTGCCTCCTTTAAATGACAAAATAGAGAATCATGACTTCGACCATGAACCAGACGAGCCAACACTTCACCACAAATTCAAGCTTCGAGCTAGATAGTCGCGCTCTGCAATATCTCTGTTGAAAGGTTGATTCCAGCATAGGAAAGCTTGTTAGGACCTATGTCGCGAATGTGTGTACCTTTGAATCAGGCGGCACGAGTGTGTCCTAAGTTACCTCAAAATAGAAGTGACTTTCAATGATTTGCGTGCTCTTATCGCCGCATTTGCGGCAAAATCTTGTCCGACTTCGGTACTGTCATTATGGGTTTCTGAATAGGTGCTTCTCGCTTTGAGATCTTATGCACCCACTTCCGCTAATTTCAAAGCGAAGGTGAGTATAGCGTTAGAGGCATAGTATACATGCTGCTAGGGACGGTTGGGGTTGGGGAGGTGAAAGAGATACAAGCTTGCCGAAGACAAAAACCTTAGCTATGCTAATGAGGACCAGTTGGATTAATTTTAGCTGCCATGCAGCGACGTGTTTCAGATATTTTTTACGTGGTAGTATCAAGCATTTGCAAGCTTTATAGTCTGTTTTTTTAATAAGTAGGTAGAACGTTAGGTTTCACACACGAGATCGCCCTTCAAATTCCTATATCGAAATTTATGGAGTCCCAAAGACTTCCCTGCACACTTTTAAAAAAACAGCGATATTCTTCTGTAATAAAGGTCGAGGTCAGCAGGACCACGCTCTAAAACGAGCAATTTGTTCACGAGAGGTGGGGCTCGCTGCACTGGTCTGTTGATTGTTCACATCATCGTAACAGACTATGAGATGCCATTGTCATTCTTGATAGGCTTAGAAGCGTCTTGCAATTTTGTTCGTCATACAGTTATGTTCGCTGTGTGATTGTTAATAACGGTAGACAGCATGTGAATGACGATGTCAAAAACGTATACGATATTAAAGTTCCTTGTGACTAAGTCATTAGTAAATGTGTCGATGAATCCGTCAATATTTGTGTGAGTTTGAAGAATCTGACTGGGCGAAGGGCGTTTGACCTGATTTTTTTAATTTATATTTGTTTGTGCAGCGGAGCTGTCGTAGCTTAGCACTTGAGAAATTGAATTAAGATCACCGATCTTTCGTTCTATAACTAGAACAAGTACGAGTTAGCGAATCGCAACCCGCTTGCTCTAAGAGTAATTATTGCCTCACCCCAGGCTAATTAGCTCTTCCGTTCAAAATCAAAGAGCTGATTTATATTTATTTTTATCTGCGGCAAAGCCAGATTTCAGATAATATACTAAATATGAATAGTAAAATCTAAATACATGCATAACTACTATCTACTTAGCCCCGTGCCTTTTTCTTGGCTGGGTGTGTTTACACCATGCATATCTCGTGTGACACACACCCCTGTTACCAGGATACGTGTAAGATTGGGAACATTCAACAAGGCTCGCGTGTCCGCTAGACACTGCAACTTAATTCGTTGGAATAGAACAACTTCCTTGCTCAATGATCCCTGTGTCAACGACACGGAAGTTACCAAGTCTCGCTGGTTCTGACAGCGAGCACGGACAGAGCCCAACTTCGTCTCCCGCACGCGGTGCGAAGTCGGACAGTGTGTCCGCGGTACCGGGGGGTGTACATCCTAGGCTCGATGAGCACGAGCGTCGCGCTTTGCGCACGCTATTAATGACTTTTAACTTCGTTGACGATGTGGAGGTGGTCGACTACGAGTCTGACACTCCTTTTCCCGCATGGGATGACGAGGTAGGCGAGCTGCGCCAGTAGCGTGATACGAGCCCTGCTCGCGCCGTGCGGACCCCATGTCTGTTCC